GGGGGGAGGTGCGCAGAAAGAGGTAAGAGAGGAAGAGGGACGGGAAAAAGAGATATTATATAATGATTTTCAAGTATAGACAAAATAAATAGACATGGTAGAGATGTTTGTTCAATTAAGTAGTTTTTTCATTTATTTTAGGTGCACAAGTTACATATTTGGCCGATCTGTTAAATAGTGACATTCGCTAGCTAAATATATATAAAAGTTATATATTTTAGGTGTATCATTTAATAGTATACAAAAAGAATATATATATTGCTATTATTTTGATAGGCGTTTATACGATGCATTTTTTCCCTCTTTCTAATCATAGTATTTTATTCTTATAAATAGCTTTTTGATAAACTATATATCAATAGAGGGGGTGGGGTAAGTATATAATATGTTTTGAAGTGTGCTCTCTTTTGGAATTTAGTTTTAATACTGCGCCTTTTTATTAATTTTAAAAAGCCGACTTTATAGAAAGGCTTAATTAGATAACAATCAACCTATTATTAATAAAGGAGGATATAAAGTTTCACTTTAGGAATATATGAAGTCTTATATTCTTTATGTTTGCAATGTCCATAGCCTAAAGTCTTTAAGCTATGATGGTTCGGATCATAGTGGAGTGGTAAATGATTAGAGATTTTAAATTGACGTTTGAGAATTAAATTATTTTTGATAAGAAGTTATTTTTTAAAGTGAAAATTTTCATTGTGAATGAAATTTCAAATTAAAGCAGATATCGAACATCAAATGATAAACAAAAAAAACTACTCATAATATATATATATATATATATATATATATATTCTTCTAAAATTATCCTTATATAAATACATAAAATTTTCTACTATTAATTCACAATCATTTCTTTCTAAGCATGAACTCTTATCATTTATATTTCATACTCATGAGCTACTTCACTTAGACGATGGTTATGATTTTATGATTTATTCGAGAAAAAAGTTCTAAAATAAACAAAACAAGATGAGCTTTAGCGTTTGAAATTTCGATTCAAACATGGAAATCTTGGATAGCTACGAAATATCTGATTTAAATATATTTTTCTTGGTAGTTTCTTTTTTCAGTGAAAGAGCTTTATTCAAAGCAATTAATAAAGGTTAGATTGGAACAAATACTACTCTTTTTTTAAAAAAATGTAATTTTTTAAAAAGTGTGTCCAAACTAAAATCAACATTTATTTAGGATCAAAGGGAGTAACACTATAACAAAAACAATTTTTAGCGATAATAAATAGACACATTAATAAAGAGTGCTAATTATAACTAAAAATATATATTTAACTTCAATTAAACTATTGCCGTAAAGATATATTTTATGTAGGGCAGTAACTTGTAAACAATATCATGGCTACTTTTGCTACTTGTCCTTTTAACTCTTTTTTGCCCTTTTTAGAACTTTTATGTGATTTGCATATCAATTATAGATTCCTAGTACATGATCATATCTTTTAGTTAGGCTCCCTAGTCAATTCACTAATCAATCAAAGATTTGTCCCATGCAATCAAATATTTGTTTGTTTAATCAGTAATTAAATTCATAGATTAATCCCACATCACTAACTATTTTAGGATTATAATGTTATCAATTTTAATGGGTATAAGATCAATTACTGCCTCTAACTAAGAAGTTTAACAAAATAAAGAAATTTTGAGTTTTGTGGTTTTAAATCAAAGATATGTATAATGTATCAATTTTTTTTTAATTTTGTGATCTTGCATATGTCATGTGAAAGTTCATTAGAATTAAGGAATTGCCAAAAAACAAAGAGACTTCTCTTTAAGATTTTTTTTTGTTTATGCAAAAGATTTTAGTTGCTACAAAGATAAGAAGAATGTGGTCAGAAATCCATAATAGAGTGCGATCACAACGATCGAATGCATAAGGATACTAGATTACCTAGTAAAAAAATTGAAAAATTATCACAAAATCTCCCTTATTTCTTTTCTATTGCAATTGCTGGATTATTAGATGATGATTTTTGAACTTTTACTTGTTCAAATAACAATTAAGGTGAAGCAGGGTTAAGAATGACAAATCTCTTTATGATAAACAGATCCATTTTGCAAGTTCATTATTACGGGCCTCACGAATAATCTCATTACCTTTCTGAGAAAAATCATGTCCTTCCGAGGTTTTACACATGCTTCTAGAGCTATACTCAATTAGGTACGACACCTGAGGTAACAAACTAAAAGGAAAAACAACACTAATAACTTACAATGTATGATGTACCTCTTTCTGATTCTTTTATAATACTCCCCTGTTTCATTATATATATCTTAATTTAATTATACATAACATTTCACAATATAAATAAAAAATTGAATTTTATATTCTTTGATATTAATCATCGGCAACTTAGCATTGAACAAAATGATAACTGAATGGGTTCTATAATGTGCCATCTATGATTAAATCTAATCGAAATTTCAATACAGACTCCAAACATCAGGAGGAAGCTAATTTTAAAAAAAGTACTGTTTGGCTCCACTTGAAAATTCTTGTGGTCTAGAAACATTTACTATACTATATTTGGTGGTAATTAAGCACTAATGTTTAATTTATAATAATACCTCATATTTTAGCAAAAAATAAATGAAACAAAGGACAAAATGAAAGAGCCAATTTTTGTACTGATTCTCAAATTATGTGGCGACAAAATCAGAAATTGTACGAAGAATGTTCAAAATTTATTAATATTCTAATAAAAATAATTGTTTGATTTATATATTTTATATAATTTTCTATGTTTTGAATTTCGAAATTGGCCACTCTTCATTACATGTAGCTACGCCCTTTATGGCATGATCATAATTTCAAAAGTTAACCAAGTTTTTTTTTTAATTAGAATTTTCTTTTATTACTTTTAAATATTTTAAGTTATTAATCATTATGATTTATAATACTTTTTACATAATTTCAAATATATAGATATTATTTCAAAAAACTTAAAATTTCTATGTCTCAATTCAAGTCTAAGTTGAAAAATTTAAATCTCACAATTCTAATTATGTCACATAAAATGAGTATGATTAAAAAAAACTATTGCTTTTTTTTTAAAAAAAAACCTGACTCAGTGTACGTCAAAGTTTAAAAAATTTAGATCTCAAAATTCTTATCGTATTACATAAATTTTGACAAAGTGAATATAGTAAGAAAAAAAAAACACCAAATCCTTGATTGATTCTTTTTGCATTAACATTTAATTTTATATATTTCTAGCTAGTGTGAGTGTGATTCGAGATAAATTACTAAGATTTGATCAAACATTTTATATGTTTGTAGCTAGTGTTAGTGTGACTTTGATTGAATCTTTTAAAGTTTCTCTGTAAAATATCTTTAGACACAATATTATCCACTAACAGAACTAATCAATTTTATTTGTATTTGAATAATGAAAAAAACAACAATTTTTCTGACAATTACTTCTTCATTATTTTTAAAAAATTATTGTGGCATTCAATCCAGTTTATGAATTCCTTGCAAATTTCCTTTTTTTTACATCGGTGTTCGTAATTTGCATTGGAGCCCTAATTAAATTCAGATCGTACACTGCTAAACTCATTTAATTTGGGGATGACGCTCTCAATAAGATTTTCTCCATGCATAACTAGGGCTCGAACCCAAAGAACTCTTGTTAAGGGTGAAACAATCCCACAATTGCAAATTTCAACTTACATTTGTTTATTTCACTTTCCTTTTTAGTCTATTTAAAAAAGAATATTTATCCTTTCTAGCAATTTGTTAATTTTAAACCTTCTACGTGACAAAGTTTAAGACTATAAAATTAAAAGACATATTAATACATTCAATATATCTTGGGTTCAAGACCATAAAGTTTCTTTACTTTTTCTTAAATTTTGTGTCAAATTGAAATCAGAAAATAAATTAAAACAAAGAAAATATTTTCAGTACATTTATATCGAATAACTTTGTTCACCAAATCTGTTTTCTTTTAATTATTGAAAAATGATCTTTGTCCAAACGCTTATGTCAAAAAAAAGATCCAAACAGATCGAAAAGACTATAGTACCCTTGAGTTACATTAGACGGGATTAAGACAAATCAGCCGCTAAATCTTTTCGTCCATCTATTAATTAAATTATTTATAACATAAATTAACGTGGTAATTAGACTGATTACAACACATAAAATATTTTTGGGAATCAAATTTACGCTTTAATTATTGTTCTTGTTGTTTGTAGCTAAAGCAAGATAATCTTCTTAGATACTTATTCATATCTTTATTAATCAGAAGATCACTAATTAAAAAGATAGAAGATAATTAGCAAAAGGCTTTAAACGTGTAAAGATGACAAGGATTTTTTTTTTTAACAAGATCTATCCTTTTAAACCTATAAAATATATTTTATCCATGCGGCCATATCATATTAGATTTCACTTTTCTCATTTACCCACCTTTAAGAAATCATAAATAAAAAAAAGTATTTTTTTAAGAATTTATTTTTAATTTTTTTAACATATTCAAAATATTGTTTATTTTAAAGAATAAATAATTTTAAAAGTAAAATAAAAAAAAATAAAAATTTTATCTTAATTTTATTAACTAATAAATATTTTGAAATGAATATCTTTATTTATTTTTAGTAATATAAACAACTTGGAACACAAGTTGTACATATTTATCACAAAAGTGGTATGACCTTTTTGTTTAACCATATTAATTTTATGCTTGTGCTCATTAATTAATTATGCAAGAAACTAATTAAGCTTGGAATATCGTATTGCTTAGTTTTTTTATACGTGGAGTACATATAAAACCTACCCCGACCCTATCTAATTGTGGGATATATATGTCCTAATATTTATGTGATTATAAAAAAAAATTCATAAAAAATTTCGAAATGTAGATTTTTATCGTTTACATATATAAAATCCTACACTCTTTTTAAACAAACATAAAAGGACACAATATCATATAAATTGAAATGAAAAAAGTGATTATCTTTCGCCTATTATAATTTCGCCCAAAACCATATAAAGGAGTAAGCAAGCTAAAATTTGTGTCAAGCAAGCTATATGACTACCTTACCTAGTTTGGTAAGGGTAGACATGCAAAATTTTATGGGATTAAGTCCAAATTTTGTATGGACTAAGTTCTAAATTCAAGACATATTGACCCAAGTCAACATTTTGGGTTAATAAAGCCGGATTAATTATTTAAGTCAAGATTGCATGGCTTAAGTCAAATCCAACTACATTGGACTAGTTGGGCCTCTACAAAACGCCCCACCCACATATTTCAAGCCCAAAGGTCCATCAAATATATCTTTATCTATGCAACTAGTTCTTTCACTTGCTTCCAAATCCATCCATCTCAAAAGCTTTGAATATCCTACTAGAAATCTTGCTTCTAGCTTTAGGCACTACGACATAAACAAAAATAACGTATATACAAGGCTAGTGCTTTCTCTCAAGCGTCTTGATATTGGATCCGCTCTTCTGTTAACATGAACATGAATTAGATTCTATTCGAATACTTTATTCTTAAGAGAACTCCCCCACCCGAACCATTCTTAAGACCACTAAGCTCTCTCGAATGAATTTTACTCTTTCTGCTTTTGAGCTACACCGGGGGAAAAGTCTTTTTCCCACTAAGATGTGCATCTTTATGCCTATATCATCCTAAAGACGGATGCGACAGAAGAAGTGACATTTGGAAGTGTTGTTGACTTAACATTTAAGTTTCGGCATAACAAAACTGCATTGTCTTTTCGCACTTAGGTGTACATAAGCCTTTAATAAACAACTTGCCAAGATCGAATTTAAGGACCAAAGCAATAACTATTAAAAGGGATTTATCTGTGGTTGAGACTGGTGTTGGTGGTGGTGGTGCTGTTGGTGGGGGTGGTATTGGTGGTGGTGTTGATAGTACTGGTGGTGGTGCTGGTAATGTTGGTGATACTGGTGTTGGTGTTGGTGGTATTGGTGGTGGTGCTGGTGGTCGTGATATTAAAACTCCCTACACCTTAGGAAAATATTCAACTGATGGTGGTGGTAGTAGTGGTGTTATTGGTGTTGATGGTGATGGTGGTGGTATTGGTGTTGGTCATGATATTAGAACTCCCTACACCTTAGGAAAATATTCAATTGTTGGTGTTGGTACCTCTAAGGTGAACTCTTAAGAGGAAGCCATCAAGATATTGATTTCCAAGGTAAACTCACAAGAGGAAGCCATCAAGACATTGATTTCTTGAACTCTCTAAAGAAAACCATCAAGACATTGATATCCAAAAGGGGTATCATTTCGTGTTTGGGAATTTACACTCCAGTTGGTGTAAAAAGGAAGAGAAAACTGATTGTTAAGATAGTAACAAGTGCTAAGAAAAACTCTATCAACAATCCGAAGACGATGGCTGATCAACAAATGAAACTCCAATCGGTAAATATTTGTCTACATGCAAATGACAAAAAAAAGAAGAATCTTCAGAAACTAATCAAAGAAAAAAAGGCAGTCAAGGGAATATATACCATGCATGAGTTAGATTATGAGGACTTTAAAATGATGACAACGATGAATATGTGGTGGAAATTAAAGACCGTGTATGTTTCTACAATTTCTTTTTATATTTAAATTGCAACTTTAACTAAATCTTTTTCTTGGTTGTTGAACATGCTGCATCAATTCTATTTATTAACTATTTTTTCATGATTGTAGCATGTAGATGAAATATTAGGCTCTATGCGCAAAAGACACATACATTACCCCACATACTATGACCCGACAGACGTAATCTTTGATCTCAATTTCTACAATTTTCTAAAGACTACCTATGATGAGTTGTGCAAGGCTAGTTCAGAAAAAAAGTGTTATTCCATTGAAGGATTGTCTTGATACATACGTGTTTGAAGATTTTTACATGGAATATTGCAAAGGAGCCAAATCCTATCTCGACGGTGTCTCATGGATAGGTGCCAAGAGAATCTACACCATAATGAATCTAAAGAAAAAATATTTTGTCGCTCTCGAGTTTCTAATCGATGAGGGAAAGATAAATATTTATGATTGCAACCTTTCAATCTACACGGAAGATGAGTTCTTTTTATTCATTATTTCTGTGTTGGAATTATTACCTAGATTATTGAAGTTGTTTGGATGTTTCAACCACTTGCCTGCAAATCTGCTCAATAATAAATGAATTTATGAGCGGAAGAAGGATAGTCCAAGAAATGATAGTGGGGCAGTATGCGGTTCATACTCATTGTCCTATATTGAGTATATGGTTACCCGCACTCCTATGACCTTGATGAATGATAAAACTGTTAGCCGGATGCGGTGGAGATGGGCAGTAGGGTGTGATTGACAAATAACTGAAGACATAGGGTAGGTTGCTGAAAATTAATATGGTTTCAATTTTTTTTTTTATGTTGGTTGACAAACAATATTTTTCTTTTATGTCTTTTGTTTGAATGGTTGAATGATGTTGAACTTTTATGTAATTATATTTTCACTTAATTTCTATGTATACTATGGTCTTGAACTTTTACGTCAGATTGTTGAATCCTTAGCAAGTAGACAACATAATTCTGCAACTTCTGTACTTTGTGAGATAAATCTTACCAAGTCAATGTGGACGCAAGGCGAGCACATTAGTGTCTCAGGTGAAAGAGGAGTTTCTGCAAACCAGTGAAGTCAAGCAGTTTGCGTGGCCCATTGCGTGCGAAATATACATTGATTTGAGCAAAGTGGACACATTGCGAGCTCATGAGCGTCCCAAATCGATAATATCTACGATTTTTAAATTTATAGCTTAAATTTCATAGTTATAAATATACTTAGAGTCTTTTCTTCATAAATATGTATTTATTTGTAATCTAAGTGTTCCTCATTTTACTTGGATTGATGCAAGAAATTTGAGGAAAATGAAATTGACTAACCCAATTTTGACCGATCACATCTTCATCTTTCGGAGAGGGAATTTGGTACGGACTTTAACAATTATGGCCGAACCCTGGGAATGGGTTTCCTACATATCTCAGGCTATATGAGAATTCAGGCCACTTGTAGTTCGGTACGCTTGATTTGACGCACGATTTTGAAAGAATTCAAAAGTTATTCTGATATCGAATTATGAAGAGACCGAAACACTTGGGAATAAGATTTTAAGGGAGAATGTTGGAACACAACCGAGTTTTCAACAATGATCCCGCTTACATATCCTCGACTCAGGGAATCAGGCTGCTTGTAGTTCGACTCTATCAGTTGAAAAGGAAATCTATTACGCTAGATATCCTTTAGTTTTGGGGGAGTGACAAGTAAGTCGAGTATGAAAAAGAGGCTTGCAACCTCTTAGCCATGAATGCGGAGCTCTTCACATCCAT